AACTTCCGCTAATGAGTTTCGAGATATTCGCACGAAGCCATCAACTTTTTATAGCACACAACGCACTACATACTCACAGATATGTACTGTAAATACACCGTATACCCTCAAAATATCAAACTGAGAGATATAAATGCTTTTAAAAAAATAAACTAAAGCAGCGTACAAATGTTATATGAACAAGACAAAACAACAAGAAATAAAGCAAAAAGTAATTAAAAAAAGCATTAAAGCTCAGCGCTGGTTCACTCCACAAGATCTAAAAAGATTCTTGAACTCAGTAATCTTTCGCATTATTTCCAATTATTTTTCAACTTTTAAGAACTCGCATCCAAGTCTATATATACACATACAACAATTATTTAAGTCAACCTTGTTTAAATAGAGCAGAACCACGCCATTGTATACATACAAACATATGAGAATGAATAATGGTTGTACTATAAAAATTACGTATGCCACAATCTCATTGTTGCAAACACTTTAGCACTTCAACAAGCTTGCATGGTGGTAGAATGGTTAATAAATCTTCCAAAATGCTTTTTTTCTGCAGTTAAAGTTTTATGCGAATTTGTAACACATGTTAATGAGCAAAGTAAATTAAAAAATTAAAACGGCTGCATGTGAGCTTCAGCCAGACCGCATTTCGCAAAATTGATGAATTTCTTAATGTAAGTTCAGTTTTGCAAAGCGTTAATATTCACAGATGGTTGGCGAAATTTCTTGCACACTTCCGCTACTTTTTGGCAAATAATTGGGTATGAAAATGAATTATATATGTGTTCGTGATCCTTCATACAATTCATCAATTCCTTCAAATCATTTTTTAGTGGTCAATAGTGTCCCAAAGGTAGGAAACTATTGTTTTAAGATTATGTTGTATCTCCTTCTGAATTAAAAACAATCGATTCGAAATATATCGAATGTATTTATTTGAAAATATTATCCGATAATTTGAAATTCTTAAGGCAAAGAGTTTCGGAGATATGATCGTATTTGCAAGAGTTCTTATAACTTGGTGTAATCGACTAATCGGTGGGGAATATTGCTCAGTAATGGTGAACGAACAATATTTTAGAAAGGCGGCCTTGTGTCCACATCCAAATTTTGTCTAGCCTTATGACCATTTTTTTTTTTTTTTTTTTTTTTTTTTTTTTTTTTTTTTTTTTTTTTTTTTTTTTTTTTTTTTTTGTCATCTATAATAATAATATTTTTGTGGGTTCTAGATTATTTTAAACAAAAGTATCTTCCTTATATGCAGACACTTTTGCGGCGGATACCTGGAGATAGTTTACGGGTTCAAAAAAAACAAATTTATCAGTGATTTTTAAAGTACATAAAATTTTGTAAATGTAAAATATTTTTTCTTTCTTAAGTAAATTAAGAAATGCATTCTTAAAAAAAAAATCTACCAAAACCACTGACTTCAAGTGAATATTGCGCCTTAAGAATATCATATATAACTTTTCTTACGCTTAGCAAAGTTCGAATAGAATTAACCCTTTCAGCAAGATTCATTTACCCGGAAGATTTTTCTAGTGAATAGGGGTTTCCAATAAGAATGGTATGATTTCTTGACTTCTTTTACAGAAACGTATTCGATGAACACAATTGTCGTGTACTTTTTTCAATGATTTCATTGATTATGGCGATCTTACAACATTTTGAAATAATCTTCACAGTTTGTTTGCCTTCTATTTTAAAACAGGCTTAGCTTTCAATAAATATCTCTTCATTGCCGTTGTTCTCATTGTTTTGATATTTTTAAATTGGAAGTTATCTTGACTTTTAATGACTTGTGTTCATCGTCTCAGGTTTTTTTAAGTAACAAAACTTCTGGTAACAGGAGCATTTTTTGACATCAAAAATTGTGTTTAATTACAATATTATCAATTTTTAAAGTTAGGTCTGACTATATTGATTAAATTCTAATGACACTTTTTAACAGACATGAAACGAACCTGTATGACAAGATCCTTTTATAGCCCATACCTTGAAAAATGTGAGTACCATGATGAAATTTTTCTTTGGAATATGTCAGCTAGTTACTTAAACACTATTTATCAATCAAATCAGTTTTTAACTAGTTTTATAATTAAAATTTAGTAGTGCTATGTTATGATTAAATTTTCTCTGGCCAAAAATCCGATGTTTATCGAATAGTGTAATAGATTATACTAGATAGACAGCGAAAGTTGTGTTTTTCTGCCAAATAGTTTCAGACTCACTCAGAACTGGACTATAGTGACGTGACACATTAACTATTTTCGGGATTAATAACGACCACATAGCATTTAAAAATTCCCTATACATGCGAGAACTACCGTTATTTATTAGCTTATACTGCATTTTTACGCTGACATCTAACATGAATCACCTTTCCATTTTGCCGTGCGCATTGTTTCATGATTAAAAGTCTGTCTGACATAAAACAGCGCAAACTTGTAAAAAAACGACCTGCCACGAGCCCAGAAATTACATTCCTAGCTGGTGAGAAACACAGCCAAATCACCAGCACGACCAACAGGTACGAGATTTAATTGAACGACTGAGGAGGAAAAAAACTGTATTTTTTTTTCTTTTTTGCAATTTTTAAGGTGAGTTTCGAATTGTCGCTCATCGCACAGGCAGTGTGTGAACTCGATCTGCCACTTTTTACACAATTCAAATTCACAGCGGAATGTGAGGGCCTCATATATAACACAGATACACACACCTGCAAGCATATGTAAATATGTAAAAGGCAACAACAAAAGTGCCAGCAACTCTAATTTTATTATGTGTGAGAAAAGTGGTGATCTTTCGCATGCGGCACTCGTCAACGTGATCTCGGTTATAGATTCTTGAGAGCGCTTACTGCCGCCAACTTGTGGCTGACGGCAGCTAGCAGCTTAAGTTGCGCAGCGCTCTTGCCGAAGTGAATGATTGCCAGTAAGCTTTGTCCCAGTCGAGTGTCTTATTAATTATTTTCCAACATCTTGCTCCCAAAGTCACGTGCTCTTCCAATCGCTCACCTGCTCTCATACACTCTCTCTCTTTCTCTTCTCGTTACAGACAACGTATCGGCTCACCAACGAAGCTGGCGGTCGTGCAGTAGCAATCATTAACGCCACCACCTCCAAACGCCATCGCCGCCACCTCATGGCTAGCATCCATCGCTGCAACAAGATACAAAGTGACGAGCGAGCAGCGTTCGGCCAATGTCGTTGCCGTCGTGGTATTCGAGCGTAATCGTGCACACGTCGGTGTCTCCAATGCGCTGCGCGGCATCGTCGTCGTCGTCGTCGTCGTCAACTTTACTCAAGCAGCTCATGTGCGCGTATTGCTGTTGTGAGCTCAAGCACTTTGGGACCAACTTCAGACATTGTTTTTGTTGATTTTCGACTTTTGGCACGTTGCTTGCTGTTGGCGCCGCTGTTGCTGCTGCTTGCTCCAATCGACGCTGGAGCACGTCGAGCAATTGAACATTTTCGGCTGACTTTGTCAACAGGCATGGCGCTCCGACGGCGCTAGTACGAATTCATCTACCGACGCGCGTTGTCCGTTATAGCGGTTGTGCGGCGTTTTGTGGCGTGTGTTGCTACGTTGTGGTCATGTTGTAGGCGAGCAAACGTAATTTCCTATACGAACGAGTAACTTTTTTTCGCTTGCGAATCGCAGGAAAACGCAGGAGGTTTAAAAAGTGTGTCGCGCATGCGTTAAGAAAAAAGTGAATACTGTGCATTGCAAGTAAATATTTGTATGTGAGTAAGTGGCATACGAAAAAGCTACCGATTAATGTTGTTGTCTGGGTTTCGTGCCCCACTGTCCGGGGTGTCATCAGTGCAACTTTAAAAAAAAAAATTGCAAAAATCAGCGAAAACGTACGAAATCGTCGGATGAACTTAACGAGCGATTTTGCAATAACGGAAATGTGAGCAAGTGATTTTTGTGTAGCACAAAGCAGTAAATTTTTGAAATACGCAAAAAAAATATTTGCCGAAAAATTAAAACGATTCCTAACAAGCGGTATTACATAACGAAAAGTACATATGTACGTGTGTTAATATGAAAATTTAATTTGTGACGAAGAATGCAAATAAATACGAATTTAATGAGTGAATTGAAGTGAAAAGTTAGAAAAAATGTATTGAAAAAATGATTAAAAATTATAAAAAAGTGATTGAAAAATTATTAAAAATTTT